ACATGAAGTTCTAAAGTAAAGAATAAAATAGAAAAGGAAATAAAAAGATGGATTTAGATTAAAAACAAAAATAAAGCGCTTTGATCAGAATTAGTGGGTATATTGGCTGCCAGAGGTTTGTCAGTGTGGAGTTAAGACTGCAGGCTCAGCGAAAGGAAGCCGATGGATACATGAGTTCATGCCATTTAAAGGACTCTGATGAATGAAACTTCTTACCAGGAAAAGTAATGAATCAAAGAAGCAGACATGTTTTATGAATATGTTTTTTTTTTTACTACACCTTAAAAATATGTCGTCCTTAAAAGAAAAACTACAAGAGCACAACATAAATAGTAAAAAGAACTTTATCAGTGGAACTATATATTTAGATATAATGTATATATAAATATATACATTATATATAGTTACATACATTTGTCTTTTCCCAAGTGGTCAATTTAAATACATTTAAATAAAATTAAGAACACTTAACTGTAATGTGCCGGACAGTAGAAGCGTGTCACTAGTGAAGAAGTTTGATGACAGTAACAGAAGACATAATATTCAGTTATTAACTGCTTTGCCTTGTCCTCTCCTTTAGGGTCAAGACTGTGAAATACCGATCAATGCCTGCATTAGCTTTCCTTGTTCTAATGGAGGAACCTGCCACATTCATCCTGGCCATGAAGACCACTTCAGGTACAACGGCGTTTGTTATTAAGTGTTATGCTATGTGGAAGTTTCGTCAGTGGTACCAGTTGTTAGTCTCAAAATTACGACTGGTTTCTGGGGTCTGCTGGCTGACGTTATATGGAACTGCTTGCAAAGATGGCAGACAGGGGGGTATCTTTTATACCGCCTCTGTAAACTATTCGCAACCAAATTGTAAGGAGGTGCAGCACCAATTTCACCTTGTGACTGTCGTCGACCTCTAGCAACCACTAATGAACCACTAGGAGAATCCACATTTTGCACTAGATCAGTGAGAATCACATGTCACATGTAGCACTGAGAGAAATATAACAATGAAGAGTAACTTCAAATCCATTTAGGCCGTGGGTCAGATCGAATCGCCCTTTTTACCCAGCTGTCTCCCTCTATTAGCGGAGGCATTTTAAGAATCTTGCCCTGTATTCTCATCTGAAGGGAACCATAACTTCACACTTTTATGCTAAACTATCACTACACACAGTTAGTTTAGCAATTTTTTAAATGCGGAGTTTATCTGCATTTAAGTAAGATTTAATTAAGACAGCTTTAGTACTTTGACTACACCAGTGCATCTCCAGTTTTGCTTTCAAACCCTTGTGTAGCTGGCAGGGTTTGCACTAAGAATCAATAAGGCTATGGAAGTTGGTGTTAAACCAGGGATGGTTTTGAAAATGTGTTTTTCATGTTTGACCAAGACACTGACGACACTTTTGATACTTTAGATTCTATCCAGTTGTTCTGTCTCTCACCCCATGACCCTCTGACCCTAAATTGTATGAATAGTTAAGAAAATGGAGGAATGGATAATTCATGGAGGTTATCCATTATTTATCTGATCCTTATATTCATGTCTTCACTTTCTCAAAGCATGCTGAACATGCTACTTCATTTTCAGGAACCTTCCTATTTTACATTCATACGCTTTCACATATTCAGACTCAGGAGCTGCCCAACACAATCATAGTGTGTGAATCCTGGCTGCAGTGCAACTCCAGTGGTCAAGAGCCTTTCAGTGGCAGTGCTTTAGGGGAAATAACATTGTGCATCACACATTCACTTTCCCACCCATCTTTTCCCAACACATTCAGAATTGCAACCTGTTTTTGCACATGCGGTGCAGCTGAGGTGCAGGTTAGATGAGAACGCAAATGTGTAATGTCAAAGGGTTTTTAACCCACTAACTCTGATTACATGCACAGGAGAATAGCACAGGTAATTGTCCAGAGAATTCACAGCAAGCTAATGTGTTAGCTAATTAGCTGTGCTGCCTTCT